GCAACTGGGGCAGAGAGGATGCATAGCAAGGCTGTGGCTGGAGGACTGGGTGGGTGAGGCAGTGGCTGGCAGTCCCACATTTGTGTGTGGATAAACCAGGAGGAACAGCTGGGGGACGAGATAGACCATGCAACCCAGGGTTCCAGTGCCTGACAAATAAAACCTCAGAACCTCTGGCTCTAAAAACCTGTGGTGGTTGTGGTGGTGGGAGAAACTGCCAGTCTCTCAGGAGAGTCCATTGGAGGGGCCCAGAGGGTCCTAGAACATACACAAGCCCACCCACCTGGGAATGAGCACTAGAGCAGCACCTGGAAGGGAGCCATTCACTTGCGGAGGAAGTGACTGAAAGCAGGGTGAGAGCCGAGCAAGTGGCATTGTTCCCTCTCTGACCCCTCCCCCACAGACAGCGCTGCATGGCAGAGCAGGTTGACCCACCCTGGGGAATACCTAAGACTCTGCCCCTTGCAACATAACAGGTGTGCCAAGACAAAGAAATGGGCCAAGTGAAAGGACAGATCAAAACTGCAGAAAAAGCTAAATGATTGAGTATGGTTGCAATGTAAAGAAGTGAAGGCTATGCAAAGTGAAATAAAGAAAAGTATGCAGGGAACCAACAGTGAAGGCAAGGAAACTGGGACTGAAGTCAATGATTTGGGACAAAAGGAAGAAATAAACATTCAAAAGGAACAGAACGAAGAAGCAGGAATCCAAACAAAATGAGGAGAGGCTTAGGAACCTCCGGGACAACTTTAAACATTCCAACATCCAAATTATAGGGGTGCAAGAAGGAGAAGAAGAAGAGCAAGACTGAAAACTAATTTGAAAAAATAGTGAAGGAAAACTTCCCCAATCTGGTGAAGGAAGTAGACATACAAATCCAGGAAGCTCTGAGAGTCCCAAACAAGTTGGTCCCAAGAGGGCCACACCAAGACACATCATAATTAAATTGCCAAAGATTAAGGATAAAGATAGAGTCTTAAAAGCAGCAAGAGAAGAGAGTTACCTACAAAGGAATTCCCATAAGGCTATTAGCTGATATCTCAAAAGACACCTTACAGGCAAGAAGCAGCTGGAAAGAAGTATTCCAAGTCAGGAAAGGCAAGGACCTACATCCAAGATGACTCTATCCAGCAAAACTTTCATTTAAAATGGAAGGGCAGACAAAGTGCTTCCCAGAGAAGGTCAAGTTAAAGGAGTTCATCATCACCAAGCCCTTATTATGTGAAATGTTAAAGGGACTTACCTAAGAGAAAGAAGAAGATAAAAAATATGAGCAGTAAAATGATAACAAACTCACACTATCAACAACTGAACCTAAAAAACAAAAACAAGCTAAGCAAACAACTAGAACAGGAACAGAATCACAGAAATGGAGATCACATGGAGGGTTATCTGTGGGGAGGAGGAAGGTACAGGGAATAAGAAGCATAAATGATAGGTACAAAACAGACAGGGGGAGGTTAGGATTAGTGTAGAAAATGTAGAAGCCAAAGAACTTACATGTACGACCCATGGACATGAACTGACGCTGGAGGGAATTGGGGTACTGGGTGGAGAGTGATAAAGGGGAGAGAAAAACGGGACAAGTGTAATAGCATAGTCAATAAAATATACTTAAAAAGGAAGTGAACATCTCCATTTAAACCTAAAATTAAGATAATTTTGTATTTATATTTTAAATTCTTTTCCTCAAAGAGAGCCTTCCAGTTTGTAGGTGCTTTAGCCCAACAAAAGTCTGGATGTGCTCCTGTATAGAAACTCAAATGAGACGGGTCTAAGAAAGCTCTTTGAAAACTCTGTCAGGCTAATCAGAAATAAAATGTTACTTCCTTTATTGGACTCACAGCCTGCCCTTAGAAGCTAAAACACTTAATGGGACATCGGACCAACCTCTTATCTTTTTTTTAAATAAAGATTTAGGCACATTATTTTTAATAGCAATGTAACTATATACTAAATGTCCAAAAGTAAAAGACTGCTTCAACACATAATTCCTTAATAAATCAGAATAATATAATTAAGAGTGATGCTGTGGACCTACTCAATAAAATGTTTTGAGAAACAGACTATAAAATATTATATACAAAATCATAACATTGGACAACACACATAATCATGGAAAATAAACCCTGGAAAGACAGTCACCAAAATGTTAATCACGGTTATTTCTGGCTGTTGGTTTTTTATTTTGTTCTTGGCACTTTATTTGATGCATCATTTAACAAGTATTTACTGGGAGCCTGCCACATGCAGGCAGCGTCTAGGCACAGAATGTAAGTAAGTAGATAAACTGACGAAAACCACTGTTCTGGGGGCTCTCCTCCCGTGGGAGTGGGGCGTAGACAGTGCTCTCAGTGAGTGTGTCGGTCCGTGGCGTGTTAGAGGGTGCTGTATGGAGTAGCGGGGACTGTGGCCAGTGAAGGGTGAGTGGGCGGTGATCTCAGCTTTCCGTAGGGGGCGGTCAGGGAAGATGTCCCAAGACCAAGGAATCTGAGGAAAGGAGCCATCAGGGACACGTGGGTCCCTGGGGCAGAGCGCAGGGTGTGTGAGGCCCTGAGGTGGGAGTGGGCCAGGCATGTTCCAGGAACAGCCAGGAGACCCGACGACTGGTGGCATGAGATCAGAGAGGGGCTGAGCTGGGGACTGTGCACCCATCCTGTGGGAGCTTCCAGGACATTGTCGGGGTGTAGATGCTTTAATCTGAGGATGATGGGAAGCCATTGGAGGGTGTTTGAGCCACAGGATCGCTGCGGCCACTGTGCTGAGAATAGACTGGGATGAGGGGAGTCGGGAGGGAGGCTTTCATCAGAGTCTAGCCGGAGAGCAGGGCAGTCAGACCATGCAGGGAGAGGTGATGAGAAGTGGCTGGATTCTAGGCAGAATTTGAAGATAGAGCCATCAGGATTTGCTAGTGGATTCATCTATTCACTCATTCATTCATTCATTCATTTGACAAATAGGTGCCAGGAGATACAGACTTGAGTGGAGATGTGAGATGTGGCCCCTTCCTCTGAGGTACTGGGAATGTAACAGGAAAAGACAGAGAATTGATAAGCTGCTACCTGTGTGTGAGGTGTGGGCTGGAGAAGCAGCACCAGAACCACTTCCCAGATGGTCTCCCCCCGAACTAGAGTGTCCCCTGCTTTCCCCATCCCTCCAGCTTTCCCACCAGCCCCACGACTCTCCAGCTTATCCTTCTCAATACCACGTCCATCAGCACTGCAGCCGGCACACTGACTCTCAGGAGCCTTCTCTCTGCCCCGCCTGGCCTCTGAGCCAGACTGCCTACACGGCCTGGGGTACGTTGCATTCATTCTACAAAAAAGGAAGCTGAGCCATAGAGAGCTGTCGTGGAGCCACAGTGCAACTCTGTTTCCTAAGTCTGTAAAAATGTGGTTGGGAAAATCTGGGGGAAAACCTTTAAAGGGCCTAGGCTTAAAGAGAGAAGGCTGGTTGAGGGTCCGCAGAGGAAACTGGCTTGCAGAGGTCCCGCAGACCTTGTATGGAGCCGCTGGACGAGAACCTGGCTCCCAGCTCCCAGTTCTGGGACCCGGTCCAGTCCTGGTGGTGGTGACTCAGCTCTTTTACCAGTGAAAACAGCACCTCGTAACTGCAGCGTGAGTGCCCCTAGTTAGATGTAGCGTAGGACATTCACTGGACTGCAAAGGCGCCTATGGATACCTCTCCCTGGAAAGCTTTGAGAAGAGACATCTTGCAGGACCTGGGTTTTAGGTGCAGACCAGCCCACAGAGCTGTGTCCCCAGGGTCTGGCCCTCCCCCGACTCCTCCGGACACAGGCCAGTGCTTCCAGGCCAGCAAATGTTCTGCCAGAGGAGACCTCCTGAGGGTGGCCCCTTAATTCAGCCTTGGCAGTGGGGAAAGGTCTGCTGGGGGGCCAGCATGGCCTTGGCTGTGTGCTCTTTTTACAACCCAGATGGCAGTTGGCCCACTCGCCCTGCCTCCCCCTGTATCCGCAGCTCCCTTATTCACAGTCTCAGCCCTCCAGGCTCAGCAGGGCCCTGCAGGTCAGAGCAGGCTTTTGGCTGTGGCCTCTGGCCCCAGAGTTGAAGCAAAGAAGTGAGAGCTGCTGCTCTGAGGCCTCTCTTTCCCCAACCTAATGCCCTTCTTTAGGTCTGATCCTCCCAGGGGTCCAGGTCCAGCTGCAGGCTCACCTGACCACCCAGCCTGTACCGGCCCCTCATCCTTAGAATACACTGCACGTTGCCTGTCATAGCACGAGCTGGAGCCATTGGGTGGGCACATGTCCCTCCTCAGCTGGGTGGTGAGCTCTTTGACACAGGGAACCCCTTTTCATAATCTCATTTGTGGTAGCAGGGTACATGGGTGGCTTCCTACAGTTTTCCAGGATCCCTCAGATGTGGCATCAGCCTCTCAGAGGCGGGGCCAGGGGAGGGGAGCACTGTTAACTGTTGACTGGTCTCCTCAGAGCCATGGAGCTGGTAATGTGGTTGGCCTGGGTTTTATCTGAGTTAAGGGCCTCGGGCCTCCTCTCTGGCCGTACTCAGTATCTCAGCACTTACGTCCTCCATGTTCCCTGCGGCCCACAGACAGGACAAGGCATGTTGGAAGGGCCAAGGCCCAGGCATCTCCTTGCAGCCTCCCAAAATGTGCAGAAGGTCCCAGGAGGAGGTGGGAGCAGAGGGGCAGCTGTCAGGCTGCTGTGGGGCAGAGGTGAAGAGGTAGCCCGTGTGGATAAGGAGGGAAATCTAAGAGGGCTCCTCAAGCTGTGCATCCAGCCAGAGGCCCATGGCCCTGGCACCGCCTTGTTTCAGGCTACTAGCTCCCCGGCAAGGCCTCAGGTTCCTCTTGCTGCTGGGAGATCCCTAGGACCCAAGGATGGCAAGAAGGAACTTGTAGAGTCTTCACTCCAAGTAGCCACTGAAGGTGGGCAGAGGATGTAGGATGGGACCTCTCCGACCCTCTCGTCTGCCTGCTTCTTATCCTTCTCCTCCCACTGATGACTCTTGGTGTCTCCACAGGTCGGAATGAGCTGATTGCCCGCTACATCAAACTCCGGACAGGGAAGACCCGCACCAGGAAGCAGGTGGGCCCGGGAAACGGATATGTGTCCCCGGCATAGGTATCCAGTACTCACCTGCTCCCAGGGTGGTCGAGGCCCTCCACAGGACGAGTGTGGGCTCTCACTGGGGCCAGCTTGGAGGGGTTGTCTCTTTTTGGTGTGCCACAGACAGTTCATATTCCTTGTTGCCCCTGCTGCTGTCACCTGGGAGGAAGTCCCTTGTCTTCCTGGGAAGCTAGCAGCCCCCTCCCTGTCCTTCTCCAGGACACCAGAGAACAGAAAGTGAAGCACTGGCACTGTACTCTTATTCATTGCTAAACTCTGGATTAGCCAGAACTGAGGACCACACTTCCTTTCACTCATTAATGCATCCATTTGTTCATTCAATCCACCCATGTGGATTAAGGCCCATGGAGGGCTGAGGGTCAGGAAGCCGGGGTTGGGCACATAGGCATCTTCGAAGTAGGGTCAGGAGCCCTCTCTTCTTGCCATAGGTCTCCAGCCACATCCAGGTGCTGGCTCGTCGCAAAGCCCGTGAGATCCAGGCCAAGCTAAAGGTAAGGCTGATGGCAGCAGTGGGAGGAAGGACTGGGGCACAGATGGGGCTGCCTCCAGGAAGCTGGGGCTCTTTTTCCAGCAGGAAAAGTCTTCCCCTTGTGTTCATGGCCTGTGTGTGGAGCCAGCATGCTTCTTGGTGTTCTTGAGGGCAGAGTTCAGCCTGTAACCTCCGTCCACACAGGGAGGGACACTTGACCTTAGAGCCATGCGTGACTGCCGGGGGCCACATGCCAGTCCTCTGCTGTGCCCTCCCTCCCCCAGGGGCAGTGCCCTTTCCAGATCACAGCAGATGACCCTCCAGACCCCACTCCTTGAGAGCTCCCCGAGTGCCTGGCTGGTGCCATCCACCAGAGCCTGCTGGTGGTCAGGCATGGGAGGCCCTGTTGTGGCCTGGGTTGGATGCTGCTGCAGGAGCAGGTGGAATTCCTCCCCGTGCCCTGTTCTCTGGGACTGGCAGTTCCTTCCCCCCTTGGATCAGCCCCTCCTTGAGGAGCAAGTGACAGGTGACTGCTCAGTGGAGGGCCAGCTGCTGGCAGCATTCCCCTCAGGGCGGCCCTGGTCCCCACAGGACTCAGGTCTCTCGACCCACAGACTAGGGAGCCCGGGGCCCCTTGTGGTGAATGCTAGGAGGAAGGGCCGAATCACGGAGGTGCTCACAGCAGAGGCTGCTCAGCCACTTGGTAGCAAGAGCTAATATTTGGGGGCATTAGACTAAGACCAGCAGTTTACAAGCATTTTTATTAGGCAATAGAAGCCCCTTTGGGTTTTCCCTCCCAAACAAAACATCACTCCAATATGTTATCAAAGGAGCTACTCTGGTCAAAGCTAGGTTGGTGAGGAGCAGGCCAGAAGCCAGAGGCCCCTCCTCCAATTCACCTGTAATGCCCATGGCTCTCAACTTCAAAAGCACGTTGGAACTCCGTCTAAAAGCCCTGGAATAAATGGCCTTGAAGGTCCTGTGTGGCCCCAGCAGTCCATGCTCCTGTGATCCCAACTCCAGAGGCTCTGAGGGAGTGGGTGGGAACTCCTAGGGAGTCACACCCCACTGCCAACTCAGCTCTGTTCCCCAGCCATCAGCCCAGCTGTCCCCCATCCCCTTTGTCCCTGGACAACTGCTGGGCCTCAGCTGTCCATCCCTCCCTTTCAGGCTGGCACATGTACCTCCAGACCACCCTGAGGGTTCCGGAACCCAGCTTGCCCTGCATTTCCCCTCAGCGGCCTGCCTCTGACTCACTGGGACCCCAGGCGGGGACCAGAATGGAGAAGAACCTTTCCAGTGTTCTGAGTCATCAAGGGGAAATTTTAATTCCACTGCAGCCTGGCTGTATGGCTCGTGTTTGCTTGGAGGCATTGTACCTATCCTTGTCCACAGGCTCTAACTGGAGGCCTAGGGACAGCCTTCAGTGGACCACTAGACAGACATAAAGGAGAGCTTTGAGTCCCCTAAATAATATGCAGAGTTCCATGCTTACGTATTTTCCCATGAAGATTGGTCTGGGGATTGCGTCATATTCTCAAAGGGGTCTCAGAGCAAGGTCAGGCAGAAATCCTCCGGGTTTTGGGCCCAGTCTGGCCTGCCTCTGCCCTTGTGCTGAGTGATCTTGGGCGAGGCACTGCCCCTTCCGGAGCTCCAGTCAGCTCTCTCTCTGTAAATGACAGCGCTAAAGTAGTGTCTGAGATCCCCTCCAAAATTCAGTGACTCCCTGACTCTGTAGCCTGGTCACTGATGTCACTCCCCATAATATCCTTCTTACTCTCCCCTGATCCCTACTCCACCCGTGGAGAATGTGGCTCCGGGAGCCCCAGTGCCTTGCTTAGGTCGGCTCTTGGGAAGGGATGCGAGTGGCCGGAGCTGAGTGGTTGGAGCTCTGTGGCCTCATGATGCAGTTGTAACTGCAGGGTCTACAGGCTTTCTGGGATATGACCTGCGTGTTCTTCATGTCCAGAGGGCCTGGGCCAGTGACCCAGTCGGATTTGGCTTTTGCCTCTGAGCAGGGCAAGTGTCCTGGGGAAGAGGCACACCTCATGCTGGTTATTTGCTAGCTCCCTGTGATGATCAGACGACCTGAGAGCAAGGCCTGTGTTTGGCCTCAAAAGGATAGTAGGTTGGGGATGACCCCACCACTGTGAGTCGGGTCCTGTGCCCTCTGTCGTGTACACCCATGCTGTCAAAACCTGACATACCTCCTCATCCTGCTTTGCGCAGCCCCACCACGCCCGCAGAGATCCAGAGGTGCGCTGAGAGACCAACCTGGACCAAGCTCCCAGGGCAGACTGTCACCACCGCCAGCACCCTAGTCACCTAACTCTCTGAGCTTCAGTTTCTTCGTCTTATAATGGGGATCCTTCTGGTCCTGCTAGCCTCACAGGAGTGCTGTGATGTTCAAAATCAAGTGAGATAGCATTCCTGACCTTCCGTGGGCCAGCTCTGCCAAGTGAGCAACAAAAGTCCCTGAGAGGCCAAGTGGAAGACCTGTTGCATTGTGGCCCCACAACCGTGTGGCACGGGCATGCTGGGTGGGTCACCTGGACCTCTGAGCCTAACACCACAGCGATTCCTTCCTCAGGAGGCTCTGGGGACTGAGTGCAAAAGTGCCTATGAGCCACGAGGACCTCCATCAGTTCTTGTTTTGTTTTGTTTTGTTTTACTTTTTAATTTATTGATTTGAAGAGAGAAAACATCAATTTGTTGTTGCACTTACTGATGCACTCACTGGTTGCTCCTTGTGTGAGCCCTGAGCGGGGATTGAGTGTGCAGCTTTGGCGGGTTGGCCCGACACTCAGCCAGCTGGGCCACCCGGCCAGGGCCGTTCTTCACTCGGCATCGCTCGGGTCAGGTCTGGTTACAGAGTGCGCGTTTTTCCTTAAAACGTAGACTTTCTTTCTTCCTTCTATAATGTTACTGTTTTTACATTTTTTAAAATTGACAGAGAGAGGAAGGCAAAGAGAGAGACATCGATTTGCTGTTCCACCTATTCATGTATTCATTGGTTGATTTTTTTAAAAGATTTTATTTATTTTTAGAGAAGGGGGAAGGAAGGGAAAAAGAGAGAGAGAAACATCTATTGGTTACATCTCCTGTGCGCCCCGTACGGGTATCTAACCCTCCACCCAGGCATGTGCCCTGACCAGGACTCGAGCCCGCCATCTTCCACTTTGCAGAACCATGCCCAACCCACTGAGCCACACCGGTCAGGGCACCAGTTGGTTTTTGTAGGTGCGTCGACTGAGATCGAATCTACACCCTTGGCATGTCAGGCTGACGCTCCAACCACCTGAGCTGTCCTGCCAGGGCAAGACGTAGAATTTCTAATCAGAGCTTCTGAGTTGACATGATCCAGCCTTTCAGTCCCGGTAAACCCATACACACCAAACAGTACTAGCTGTTCCGGTCTGCATATGAGATCTTATTTTGGGCAAAGACACAGTTTTTATTAGGCTTTTTGAAATATAGAAAAGAATGTTGTCTTGTCGATTTTAAAGACCTTAGGAATTGGGGAGCTCAGAATAGGAGCCAGGCTTATAGAAGTATAAAAAATTATTTGTAATAATATTGTTGTTATTGTTAGCAGTGTCATGAGTGCTTATTTATGTAGAGCCTGTGCAGCGTGAATCCATTCTTCAGGTTGGACCCACGGAGGGCAGATGGCCAGTGTTTACGTTCTGACCTGTAACAGGCAGTGTGTGCTGCGGGCACCTGCAGGGCCAGGTTGAGACACCGGAGGCACAGGAGGCTGTTTGTGCCTCCAAACAGTCCGTGGGACCGTCCCAGGGGGATCTGACAGATAATTAAGTATCATCTGGCATGAGCCAGGTGCGGCCCAGCCACCAGAGGTGTGGAGGTGAGCCAGGACTGAAAGGTTCCTGTTCTCAGCTGGTGGTCGCCTGAGGGAGGGGGTGGGGAGAGGGTGAAAGGGATGAAGGGCAATGAGACGTGCAGACTTCCAGTCATACAGTAAATAAACCACAGGGTGTGGCACAGGAATATAGCCAGTAATATATTGTGATAACTGCATTGTGACAGATGGTTACTAGACTTTGTGTGGAGATTATCGTAAGGCACCTACATGTCAAATCACTATTCTGTACATGTGAAATTAATATACTATTGTATGCTGACTATACTTTAATAAAAAGTTGTTTTTTAGTCTGATAGATAGATCAATCAATCAATCAGTGAGTCATCCCTGCTCTCAAAGTGGCCCTGTGGTTAGTAAATTGAAAGATGTGGAGAACTTCTGGTCTCCAAAGTCTCTTTAAGTGCTGATCAGATAGGAAGGGCAAGTATTATGCCTCTTTGACAGATCAGGAAGATGATCCAAGAAACCACGGGACTTGCTCAGTGATGAAACAAAGTGATAGCCTTGCAAGGACATAAAGCTGGTCCCCTCGGGCCTAGTCCAGGGCTCTGGCCACTGGCAGTGGGACAGCTTCCCTGGCCACAGCCCCTCCCTGCCTCACTGCAGCCTGCCAGAGCAAACCCTGCTGAGGTCGTGCCTTCCGCTGTCTTCCCCAGGACCAGGCAGCTAAGGACAAGGCCCTGCAGAGCATGGCTGCCATGTCATCCGCCCAGATCATCTCCGCCACAGCCTTCCACAGTAAAATGGCCCTCGCCCGGGGCCCTGGCTGCCCAGCAGTCTCCGGGGTAAGTGGGGCTGCCTGGAGCCAGAGGCCAAACCAGTCCTCTCCTTCTCGCTCCTCCCCCTCCTGTGGAGCCACAGCACTGGCCAGACCACATTTCTCTCGCATGAATCCTCCCAGGCCAGGAGAGCCAGGGGGAAGGAGGGACTGAGGACAGAGGGCCATGCTGGGTCCCGGCTCAGCTGGTATTGGAACCGCCTTCCTCGGGGCCATGGCAGGGGCACAGCAGACCTTTCACAGGAGGCAAAGCTGCCCCCATTAGCTGACCACCCCAGAAGCTCTACAGAGTCGGCCCCATTTACAGAAGGGGAGGCTGAAGTCCTAGGACGGGGGCTAGTCAAGGCTCTGGTGCGGCACCAGCATGACCCCAAGTGGCCCTACTGCTGGCCTTGTCTCCATGCCCCCTCAGGTACTCGGCACTGCTCTCCTTCCAGGTGGAGGGCTGGTGTCCATGAACAAACCCCTGTTAGTATTGTAAATGTTTCCGCCTAAGACCTGGCCTCTCAGCCGTGGTCAGGTTGGTCACACTTTGAGAATGGTCCAGAAAGGCTCCTCCTTTCCTGGGCTGTGTCCTCACAGGGTTTTCTTGGCTTAGGGACTTAGTGGGTCTTAAAGAGCTGCCCTGGGGCCAGCAACAGGCCCTGTCCTATGCTCGTGAAGCTCTTGCCCAGCATTTTTTTTCAGAACGAGTTCTAGGCAGCGCCAGCCCACAGAGGGGCACAAAATGATTCTGTGCATAAGTCAGCCTGGGGCACCTGGAGCCAAGTAGGGCTCCTGACTCCAGGACTGTTCCAAGCCTCACATGCTGCTATGCACCGGGCCTCGAACAGAGGCGCATGAGATTCTGTGTACCGAAGCAGGTGTTTCTCCCGAGGAGCGCCATATAACCAGAGCATGTCCAGAGTCTAGAGTTCCTTAAGACACACTTTGGGATGTTGCTGTCGCCAGTATTAGACAGTAACGTTAACTCTCACCCTGCCACCCACTGGTCCAGGCTCCAGCCTCACCTTCCAGCTGAGGCCTCTGTGCTGTCTCCCCACACCAGGGCCCTTGTGCAAATGGGCTTCGCTGACTCTACACTTTTTGCCTCCTCAGTTTTGGCAAGGAGCTTTGCCGGGCCAAGCCGGAACATCCCATGAGTGAGTATGGCCTGCCATCAGTTGCTCGCTGAGCTGACCTTGAGTCCATAAACTCAGGAAGTTGAGCCTGGGCCCCAGGGAGGGACAGGAGTATGGTCGGGTCCACCTTTTATTACAGCCTTGAACTTGGGGATCAGGCTTTCCTGGTCTCAGGTGGCAGTTTGGTCTATATTGTGGACACCTTGGGTGCATTTGCTAAAATCTCAGTCTGTCCATGGTATATAGCAGGGCCAGCACTGGGACCCCAAGTGGAGTAGGCTAGGAACCAGGGCTCTGGTTGGCCTGGGAGAGAGGGTTCAGGGAGGTGTGGGTTTTTCAATAGATGAGCTGCTTCTGTGAATCAGCCATGAAACCTGAGGGAGTTGGCGGGAGAGGACGTGGGAGGCCAAAGCCCACCAAGGCCACTGATGACCAGACCAACAGGGCCTGCCGCACAGAGTGATGGGGTCTGCTCGAGGCTCTGGGGCTGCACCCTGCCCAAGGCTCACACCCCTTCTCTCCTGTCTCCCACAGTGTGAAACCTTTCTCTCAACAAACCTACACTGTCCAGCCTTCACTGCCTCTACCAGGTGGGTCGGCTGGTAGTGCACAGCTCCCTCGCCTGTCATGCTCCTGCAGCTCCTGCCTCTCAGATGCCACCCTGGCCTGTGCCGAGACCATGTACTCCAGGCTCCTGGTTCCACCCGTTCCCCGCCCAAGCACACACTCATCTTCCATGTGCGGGTCCCTTCCTGCCACCCAGGGTGCCTGTTGTCCCTCCCAGCCTGGGCTCAGGCTTGTGGGGGCACGCACAGTGTGAAGGGCAGTGCCTGCACCCTGGGTGCTGTTCCCCTGCTACTCACTCCTGTGGGCTGCGGGTGGGCTGCAGATGGGCCTCATACTCCGTGGTGCCGGAGATGGCCTCCCTCTTGGTGACCCTGTAATCCTCTCCTTCAAACTTTCCAGTGTGAAAAGGAACCTTTATTAGTAAAGACACCCTCCTGGGAAGAGGTGGGGAGCATGGGTGGGGCAGGCGAAAGTCCAGCCAGCTGGGCCAGCACAGGAGCTCATCCCCTTGCACAGCTCAGGTGACCACCTTTGTCCTTGCCTCTTTCTCTTGAGGGTCCCTCACCATTTCCCACTACACAGGGCAAGACAGGATCCTCACCCCTGCCCACATTCGGGCCTGGCTCTCCCTACTCTGAGAGCGGCCCTGCCACCCATCTAGGTTCCTCAGTGCTGCTTGCTGTCGGCCCTGCGCAGTCCACCCTCTGTGGTCCTCAGGGCCTCGCTGTCTGCTCCCGCCTTCCTAGATCTTGCCTAGATTACTGCAGCCCCCTCTAACCAGCTCTGGCTCCTGGTCTCCAGTCTCATCTCTTTACCCTGTAATTCGCCTAGCCTCACCTGGTTGTCTTTTTAAAACACCCGCTCACCATGTTGCTTCTGGGCATAAAACCCTTTCATGACTCTCTGGGGCCTCCAGGGGGTACAATCTAAACTCGGGTGGTGCTTGCAGTGGTGCATTGGCCTCACCTTTCTCCTCTCTCTCTTCCCTCCTTTCCTTCCCAACTACCACCCCTCCCTGCATCTGGGCTGTGGCTCAGGTTTCTCTGCCCTGCCCAGGGCAGGGGCACCCCACCCAGCCCCTGACTGTTGTCATCTATGGCTGTTGTCATCACAGTACCCATGGCTGGTTTGTTCGTGTGCTCCGTGTGTCCTGCCCTGTCCGGCACTCAGCTAGCTGATGCATGAAGCACAGGCTAATGTGTCTGTCTGGCGCAGTCCCTCGCCCACCCCTCTGACTACCGCTTCTTCTCTGTCTCCTTCCTCCGACCTCAGCACTCGGGCCCCATTCATCACCAGACTCCCAGCCTGGAACACTGGTGTCTTCTGGAGGTCAGCTCCACTGCTGTCACCCCCTCAGTCCCCTTGGCCTGGGCTGGTGCTCTCTTCATGTCCCTACTGTGTCCCTTCTCTTCACTGCCCTGCTTTACACAGGCCCTGCAGGAACTGTGCTTCTGGTCTGCCTCACCCTGCCCCACCTTCCTCCAAACTGGAATAGGATCTTTCAGAAATGCAGACCTGAGCATTTCACTGCTCTGCTTAAAATCCTCAAGTCTCTCTTGAGCTCTCAAGCCAAATTCATGCATGTCTGGCTGGATGCCCCATCTCTTCAGCCTTATTTCCTGCCACTGGTGTAAACTCGCCCTTCTCTCCAGTTCTACCACAGACTTGAGTTTCCAAACTCACAGAGCATCTCACAGCCTCCAGACCTCTGCCTCTGCTGTCCTCTGCTCGGAGTGCCCTCTTCCTAGCTTCACTTGCTGCCGTCTACTGCCTGACTCTTTTCAGACATCCCCTTCAGAAAGAACTTTTCTGACCACCTGGAATAGGACTGGGGGTTCCTCTGTAGTGCTGGGTGCATACCTAATCAGTTTATCCCATTCATGACTTCCTTGATCATCAAACCTGTATCAGAGCGCCTGTTCTGGGCCAGGCACTGTTCTAGGTGCTACAGAGATGGCAGGGAACCAAACAGGAACTCTCTTCTCATGGTGCTTACGTCATTGCATATAATCATAGATTTATCTGGTCGGCTGCCTGCTGAACCAGAAGCTCCTTGAGGGTGAGAACCTGGCAGAGCCTGCTGTAGAAGCCCCCTCAGCCCAGCAGACAGCCACCCATCCAGCATGCAGTCTCGCTGGATTGTAGTTTTCTGGGCCAAGGGAGTTGAGTTGTACCTCCCCGCCAGGGCTATTCCAGGACCCCCCAGCCAGTGCTTTGCACGCTCCTCCAACACCCCTGTCAGAGCCCCTTTAGGGGAGACAGGGGATCCTCTTGCCAGCACAGGGTCTCACTGGTGGGCCTGGGGTCCTCACAGAGGGTGTTGGCAGGGAGGGTGTGTGTGAACAGGATCCCATGTGCCTCTCCCACTGCCTGCAGGGTTTGAGTCTGCTTCAGGACCCGCCCCATCGCCCTCAGCGCCCCCAGCGCCCCCATGGCAGGGACGCAGTGTGGCCAGCTCCAAGCTCTGGATGCTGGAATTCTCTGCTTTCCTGGAGCAGCAGCAAGACCCTGATACGGTAGGTCCTGGCCTCTGTCTGCCCGTTCTTCCACCCTGGAGCTCCCTCGCCTTCTCCAGCTCTTGTTCCACCTGCTTCTGGTTTTCTCACCCAGCCCTGCTGCCCAACTGCACTTTGGGCATTAATTTAGGTTCCTCATTCCTTTACAGCCTTTCCTTCCCTTACCTTCTCTTTCCTTTTCCTTTCCTTCCTCAAGCCACCTCCTTCCTTCCTCGCTTGGCCTTACCTCTCCCTGTGTAGCTGTTGCTTCCATCCCAACGCCCTCCCGTGGTTTCTTAGCCCATCCCTGTTCTCTCAGGCCCTCCCAGCTTCCTGCTCAATCCCAGACCCCTGGGCTTCCCTTCCCGTCCTCTTTCCTCCCAACCCATCCGTCTCTCAGTCCTGAGTTGCTCTTCCATCTTTTCCCTGTGGCTCTGACGAGTCTCCTGAGTCTGACCCGCATCTCTGGGACGCCAGCTGGGAGCCTAGCCCTGCCCTCACCCTGTCCCCTTCAGTGTCTTGCATCACCTGCAAAGGTCAAAGTCGCATTTGAAGGAGGCTGGGCTGTCTCACTTTTGCGTTCTCAAACTTGCTTTTTAGTGTAGGAACCTAGTAATCAAACCAGCTCTTACTCAGAAGCCCAGTATGCACAAGAAAAGTCAATTTTGGTTGTGGCTACAGAGGCACCCAGCCCTGTCTCCAAGGGTGGAGCCCAGTCTGAAACTGCCTTATCTAGGTCAGTGGTCTTTCCTCGCAGATGAAGTAACAGAGGCCCAAAGGTAGAAAAAGACTTGCCTAAAGATATTTAGTGACAGAGGACAGACTAAGAATAATGTAAATAACAGCTACAACTTGTTGAGCACCTACTGGGTGCCAGACTCTGCGCCAGATGCTTCATACCGTTAACTTTGCTTCACATTCAGTCCTTGGATTGTCTCCATTTTACCAGTGGGGACACTGAGGTCCAGAGAGGTGAGGTCACTTGCTCCAGGTCACGTGGCTGGGATCCGAGCTCTTGTCTGTTCTGTCCACCCTGCTGCCCCCGCCTCGCCCTCAGACCAGCTGTTCTCTCCACAGTACAACAAGCACCTGTTCGTACACATTGGCCAGTCAAGCCCTAGCTACAGTGACCCCTACCTCGAAGCTGTGGACATCCGCCAGATCTATGACAAGTTCCCAGAGAAAAAGGGTGGACTCAAGGAGCTCTTTGAACGGGGACCTTCCAATGCCTTTTTTCTTGTGAAATTCTGGGTAAGCCTTCAACTAACTCTGCCTTCCTACCCCCAGCACTTCGCTGAGAGTGAGGAGAAAAGAGAAAGAGTGGGCATGCGGTGCCCTTGCTGTGGTAGAAACCTGTGGAGCACAGGGCTGGAGAGAAGGGGAGGAGTAGCCGCAATGGCTGAGACCGGGAGTCGGCCAGTGGGGCCGGAGAGCTGGGCCCGTAGGAGGCCGTTTTTCTGACCCGTAGTAATGACAGCCATACCTAGGCATAGGTGTAGCCATAAGAAGACTGTAGTACTGGAAGAACACTTATAGGAGATACTGAGGGGTAGGTGAAGAGCCAGTGAGTTCCCCCTAGTCACCTGAGTCTTTGAACGGCAAGTCCTGAGTGGGTTTCAGGGCCTGGAGGAGGGCATTTGACCAGCATGGCTCAGCAGGTTGGGCGTCATCCTTTCAGCAAACTGAAAAGTGGCTGGTTTGATTCCAGGTCAGGGCACATGCCTGGACTCTGGGCCACGTCCTCAGGAGGAGTCATGCGAGAGGCAATCAATAGATGTTTCTCTCATACACTGATGTTTCTCTCCCTTTCTCCTTCCCTTCCTCTCTCTCTAAAAATAAATAAAATCTAAAACAAACAAAAAATTTCATCTCTCCTGGCCTGGTAGATCAGTTGGTTAGAGCGTCGTCCCAATATGCCATGGTTGCAGGTTCAATCCCTGCTCAGAGCACATACAAGAAACAAACAATGAATGCATAAGTAAGTGGAACAACAAATTGATGTTTTTCTTCCCTCCTCCCCAATCAATTTTTTTTATAAAGCTCACCTCCAAGGACAGGGCTTGGAGAAATGGCCTGTAGGGTTAGGAAAGGCCACCCCAAAAGAAATACCCATCCAGCTTTACAAACAGCTCAGCCTATAGATGTGATCTCTGCTGCCCTCCTCACCTCGCCTCTAGAGAGGTGTTATATGGGTAGAGTTTGCTTCTTTCAAAGCATCTTCTCTAAGACTAGGAGGCATAATTAATACCTGCTCAGGAGCTTACTTTCCAGGGGGCCCAGTACACCCAGAAAAGAGGCAAGGAAGAGTCAGGGAAGTGCAGACTGGGCCAGCCGTGAGGAGGAAGTGCAGGGAGTCCTGGTAGTGATGGGAGACTCTGAATAGTTTCAGGCATGGACACAGGGCCTGGGTGGCTCCCCCCACATTCCTCTCCCTAGCACCCTTGTTAACACCCTTGAGAAGGCTCAGGGAGTCTTAGCCTTTATGTGGTCCCTGACTGCTTTGATTATCTGAAAGCTCTATTTTTCCTAGAGATGGGCATATTCACACAAAGTTTTATATACATTTCTCAGTAGCTTACAGTCCTGGGCTGGGATTCCTAGCCTAGCTCTCATCCACAACCAACCCCGATGGCGGGCTCTCTCCAGAAGAGGCAGGTGCTGGAACTGAGACCCAAGGCTCCTGGTCCGTGAGATGCTTGGTTTTTGCACTCTGTAAGACAGCTTCTCCCGTGAGCAGTATGGCACTGGACCTGGGCCATTAGGGGCAGGCAAACTTTGTTAGGCAGAGATGCGGAAAGGCCGATGGAGCTCGGGAGGCCTAAGGAAGTGGGCTCCGGGACGGAAGGCCCCAGGTCCGGGGTCCAGGCGTACGGCTGGGAGTAGTGGAAAGTAACGCTGCAGAGGTGAGTCAGACCCGGGAGGCCCGATCCTGCGGGGGTTCGGACTTTAATCTATCCTGGGATGAAGAACAGGCCATCGTTCCTTTTACTTTTATCTTCTTTTTAAATCAGTGCTGCTTATAGTTATATTATTAATTAGTGCCAAGAGGCTTATAATGAAACAGGTCAGATTCTTGTCCCACTCCTCCCCAACCCATCCCCAATCCCCAGAGACAATTGCTGTAAAATTTCCCTGTTTATTCTGGCTTTTATCTACTTAGTTCTAAAGAATAAGCTTATACTGCCATGCCTTGCTATCATGATTAAGACATTTATTATGGTAGAAATAAATTTGCTGTGTTACATACCATTTTCTCCTCATCACACCAGTATTATCATACTACTAAGTTATATAATTTCGTCAAAGCAATAAAATGTGTACACTTTTGACACTGTATATTGGCCACCAGAAGAGCCAGGATTCATTTTATTTGTAGTACAGCTTTTTGTTTTGTCCTATAAATAAATGGCTTTATCACTTGCATATTTTTAAATAAACCTATTATTACAATTTTACAGATTGCTCCATTGTAACTACCATATAAAAATTTTAAAAAATTTCCCCAAATGTTCAAACCTATCAGATAATTTATTAGTTCCCCCTTTTTCCTAGACATCTTTCTCCTAAATGTCCCTCTTCTGCTCCAGTTTAACTGGTATTCTCCAGGCCTGTTGTCATCCTGAGACTTTTTGTTAAAGGTTTTATTTATTTACTTTTAGAGAGAGCGGAAGGGAGGGAGAAAGAGAGAGAGAGAAACATTGATGTGTGAGAGAAACATCGATCAGTTGCCCCAACCGGGGGTCGAACCCATAACCTAGGCGTGTGCCCTGACTAGGACTCGAACCTTTAACCCTTTGGTGTACACGATGATGCTCTAACCAACTGAGTCACCCAGCCAGAGCAAGAATCATTTTTTAATTATTGCTGTATTGTCTTCTAACAGGTGTAGTCTGATAGCATTCTAATTCTCTCTCCTTTGTTATGTAACTTGTTCTGGGCAGTTTTGTTGATTTCTTTTGGTCTCTAGAAGTTTTGCATTTCTTCTCTATTCCTTCTGTTCTTAAATTTCACATTGATGAGCTCTGTTACGTGTGTTATTTTCTATTTTTTGAGCCAGGCACTTGGTAGGTACTTTTCATCGTGAGGTAACATCTCTTAGTCCTGGGAAATTTGCTTGTATTATTTATTTGATAATTTCTTTACCCCCTTTTTTTCTGTTCTTTTCCAGGAACCCCTATTAGTCTGATGTTGGATCTCCTGGACTTAACCGTCTGTGATTTTTATCATTTCTTTATTTTCAAACTCATTTTCTTGAAGACTTCCTTAACTTTTTTTCCTAATTCTTCTAAATTAGCTAAGAGCATATCTGAGTCCATATTACATAAAACCCAAAGTAACAGTGGCATAAATACACAGTCTGAGTTTTTTTTCCATGTAAAATAGGTTTGGAGGTAGACTGTCCAGGGCTGGTCCAGCCCCTCTTGAAATCACCAGGCCCTGACTCCTCTCTGACTGTCTGCCATCCTTGGTGCGTGGTTTCTGCCCTTCAGGTCGTGGCTGCCGGAGCTGTAGCCATCAGACCCGTATTCCAGGCGTCAGGGAGGAGGGAGCCAGCTTAGTTCCCTCTGAGGGGCCTCCTGGACGTCCCACACAGCACGCAGTTGCTGTGCGTGGCACCTGGCTATAGAGGAGCCAGGGAAATGTACTCTTTGTTGAGTAAATTACCAAATAAAATCAGGGTTCAGTTGATGGCACTTTCTTTCTCAGTGGTTGGGGGCAGTGTGCGTGTAATGCTGAATTAGATGAACAGAACGCGGTGGCGTTCTCTGCCACGCCTTCTGTCCAGATCGAATTTTGACCATAAACTTTTTAATTTTTAAGAGCTCCTTTTTTGTTCTTTGATTACATCCTGATCTTGTTGGATGGATATAATTTTTCTCTTATATTTCTGGGAATATGAAGTGAAAATTACTTTGTAAGTTTTCTTTTGTTCCCTTTGTCTTTCTTGCCCTTTTATTCTTTTGTTCTGTCTGTTTGGTCTCTGTTTTCCAAGTTGGAGCCCTTTCTCAAATATCAGTAATCTTTGGCCGTATTTTTGGGTCCATATTTTTTTAAAACAGCTTTATTGTCACATAACTCCTTTACTGTACAATTCACCTACTAGAGTGTACGATTCAATGTTTTTAGTATAGTCACAGAGCTGTGCAACTCATTAGTTTTAGAACATTTCCATCACCCCAGAGGCAAACCTGTACCCCTGAGCTATCAGCCCTCCCCACTGCCCCACCCTAGGTAGCCACTGATCTGCCTCTGCTCTGTGTAGCTGAGCCTTTGAGGGACCCTTCACATGAGTGGAATCATTTAATATGGGTGTTTGAGTCGGACTTCTTTCAGTTAGCACAAGCGAAGGTTCAGCCATATTGTGGTAGGTATCTGTACTTCATTCCTTTTTAGGGCTGAATAATATTCCATTGTAAGGGTAGACCACGTTTTGTTTTGTTTATATGTTTATCAGTTGATGGGCATTCTGGTTGTTTCTACCTTTTTGGTTATTATCATAATGTTGCTGTGAACATTTCTGTACAAGTTTTCATCTAGACGTAATGCTTTTATTGCTTTGGGGCATGTACTTTGTGGTGGAGTTGCTGGGTCATATGGTAACCCTATGTTTACCTTTTTGAGGACCTGCCAGCCTGTCTTCCAAAGTGGCTGCACCATCTCATGTGCTTCCCACCAGCAGCTGTAAGGGTCCCACTTTGTCCACATCCTCCCCCACATTTGACATTCTCTGTGACTATTGCCTTCCTGTATCTTCTCGGGAGAATTGTCTGTTTGGCTCCTTTCCCCCTTTTTTTACCTGGGTTATTTGCCTTTTTACTGATTTACCAGTTCTATATGTATTACAGGTAGAAGTCCCTTATCAGAGATACACGATCTGCAGGTGTTATCTCCCCTTCTGTCAGCCATCTTTTCACATTCTCAGTAGTGTCCTTTGAAGCACAGAACGTTTTTGTTTTGTTGAAGACCAGTTAATTCCTTTCTTTGTTGCCTGTTCTGTTTGTCCCTATTTAAAATACCTGGGAGCTCTGCACCAGGCAGGAATCAGTACCTGGAGGGCTTCGTTTCAGGTAGTAGGGGCTGGGAGCCAGCTGTTGTACTGGGGAATCCAGTAGATGTCAGCATGTTTACTGGACTTTTTCTGAGGTGGTTTGGTTTCTCTAGAGAAGCCTCCTTCCATTCTCGCCGGCCACCCCCGAAAGGGATGTATCGATCCCTAGAACTCTAGGAGTAGGGGGGTGTGAGTGCCAGGGGGTCTCACCCTTCTTAGGCGGTTTTCACTTACTTCTGTTTTCATCCTTCTCTCTTCCCTGTCTTCTCAGCTCTGTTTAATTTTTAAAGATTATCACCCTTTTGCCCTCTGCTGATGTGGGGGGGGTGTCCCCTGGAGGCCTGCCCACCCACACACAGTCTTCAGTCAGCTCCTTTGGCCATTTCCTGTGCCTCCCCTAGTTCCATGCTGCTCCAGGCTTTTCTGAAGTCCATCCACTCACGGCTAGTCTGTCCCCCGCTGGAGTCACTTTGAGGCTGCAATTCCCTTCGCTTCCTCTGCCCCACGGAGCCCCTTCTAGTTCTGGTCAGCCTTCTCAGTTGTTGGGCTCCCTCATCACTGTGGTCTCTGCTCTGTTGTGTTTGTCTGTGAGGCAGCACATTTTACAAAGTCCTTTGCTGTCATTCCGGTTGGCTGTCTGGAAGGGGAACAAGTGAACTCATATGGTTCGCCTCCCATTTTAACCAGATATCCAGGAAAATAGGTCTTATTTGAGGGCCACTTGCAGTGGATCAGTCGTCGTCATTTGGAATGCTGGGTCCAGAAGGACCTAGAAAAGTGCTGGACTGACTGGTGATGTCTGTCATAGGTGTGGCAGGGGAAGATAGGGGCACATTTACTATGTGCTTGCTGCCTCTACTCTTTGGGCAATGAGGAATCCTTGAAGTTCTTGAACAGGGCATGATATGGCTAGAGTTGTGCTCAGTTGGATAAATGAGCTTTCCAGACTGGAAGCAAGTAAGAGTCTGCTATAACACAGGCCAAGGAAGGGGCAGCAGCCTGTTTATGACCTCAGCCAGAAAGGACTTAAACAATCTTACTTCACTTTTCTCTCTCCCCGCTCTCCCTTCCAGCCCTGACTGTGGAAACTGGAACCAAGAGGCCTTGCCCTGGGCAGCCACTGAGCACTGTCTCTGTGTGGCCAGTGGTGCTGGCCCCTTTCCGGCCGTGTGCCCACGGAGGCCATGTGCCTGGCCTTACCTCTGGGGAAGCCTACACCTTCTTGAGTCCTGCTTCCTCTCCCCCAAACCTGTCCAGGCTTAGCCTTGACCCAGAAGAAGGAGCTTGGGTGAAGTGACTTGTGGCTGTTCTCCGCACTGGCTCAGCTATGCTGAGGGTACAATTTCAGGTTGGAAGGGAGGCCTGGTGGAGTGGACGCACTTATGGGAACATGACTCTGGAGTGGGGAGATGGCATATTTGGGTCTCTTTTCACTGGCTCCTGCATTCTTGAATTGGAAGACAGTATTGTGCATTCTTCTAGCCACTGTCCTAGGCCTCACAAATGGGAGACAGGGGCATGGAGAAGTAGGGACCTGGCTGTGAGACACCCAGCCAGAGTGACAGTCTTTGTGTGGTGGTTCTTGTTATGTATGTAGCGAGGTGGGTCAGGGCAGTCGGTGAAAGGTTACCTCGGGCAATAGTTAGCGTGTTACATATATCAGCATGTTGTATTCTTGCCACACCCTCAAAGGTAGGTAGAAGTGACAGCCACATTCTGTCTAGGGCACACGAGCACAGAGAGGTCACAGGCTTGCCAGGGTCACCAAGTTCCTAGTGGCGGAGCTGGATTCAGACCCAGGCATTCGGGCTTCAGAACCATCACACTAAACCGCCTGCCTTGCAGAGCACCTGGGTCGCCCTCCATGCAGGGCCTGGTGCTTCCCCTGCTCCTATTAGAGGGGCTCTGGATTGCCCAGACCCCTGCAGAATGGTGGGCGTGGTGGCTTGGAGAGCGCAGACATGGCTCTGTGCTGTGCGTTTCCTGGGTTTCCTAGAACCCAGACTTCCCTTCCAGGAAGTGGGGAGGGTCGCCCTGTCTGTCCTGCAGCCTTGCTGGTGGCCCATTTCTGGCTCTGTGGGGAGGTCAGCAGTGGGATCGCTGGGAGGAGAAGAGAAGGTGGGGAAGAGTCGGGGGCCACGGAAACTGGAGTAGGCAGCTCCCAGACATGGCCTTGGTGCTCCAGTCGGGGGCTCTGCATGCTCTGTGGGCCAGTCGTGGCCTTTGTCTCCCAGGAGCTCACACCCCTGGGGCGGTCACTGCCGTGCAGGGGAGCTTGGCGGTCAAGCCAGCCTCTCTGTGTCAGCAGAGCACAGGGTGGGCCACACTGGGGCCCAGCTGGCATGTAGAGGTTCTGGCCTTGATTGGAGAACTATGTCCTGAGCAAATCTCAGCTTCTCTGGGCCTGTTTCTCCATCTGAAAGCGAGCAGTTTGTTTTTGAGGGCTCGCCATGAGCTGTGTCTCTGAGGTCCTGATGTGTGTGGGGTTGGCTACCAGTGAAGGGAGGCCGTGTGCCTGCCTCCTGCCGCCCTGTGCCCGAGCCGGGCCCTCTCTGAAAGCCCAAAGTGTGGGCAGCATGAGGACAGGTGAAATCAGAGATGGGGCATGTCAGTGGCCAGGGCGCGTGGGTGGTCATCTCGTTTCTCCTCTCTTGTCTGGGGAGGGTGGAGGCACCAGGGAGGCACAGATCTGTGATGTGCGGGGGAAATGCTCCTGTTTGCAAACCAAGAGACTCTGGGTCAACCGTGGGGTCCTCACAGGCAGTGTGGAGTCCCAGACACCTGGACCCTCATCTCCTGGGCCCTGGCCTGGCCACCCCTCCCCAGCTATCACCTGGTGTGAGACTGGCTGCAGGCGAAGGCAGTAGAGCAGTGCCACTTCTCCCAAAGACTTCCTTTCTTCCTCTGCCTGGCGGTTTTCCACCTCCACACCAGGCCTTGCATGGGCCTCCTGGGGAGTTTGACCAGGGCCCCCTGGAGTAGGAGGACTTTGCTCTCTCTCTCCCACCTCCCACTGAAATTCCTGCTCTTATTGAAGGGATGACAGCAGTACCTCCTAGACTCACGGATCGACCACCAGGACACCTTGCTCCTGGCTAGAAGTGGCATCTGGGTACAGGAGGGATTGAATCATGAGGCTGTGCCCTGTTGGATTCGTATGGTGGGGTCTGCAGCAGGGCTGAGAAGCTGAGAGCCCTTCCCTGCTCCCTGTTCCTGGCTCCCCCAGGACATATGAGACCAGCAGAGGCCACTTCTCTGCCCTTGAAGTGAGGGTAGAGAGAACTCTCAGATACTGGTGGTCATTCACACCAGCCTGCAAATTGAAAATGCTGGGCAGAGCTGAGCTGAGGCCATGAAGGGAGGCGAGTATCCAGACTGCCCATTCCAGCCTGCTGTCCCCTTTTGGGCCCTGACATTTCTCCCAGGCACATACCAGCACATGACAATGAATCTGAGCCCCTCCAGCCCCCACACCCGGCTACGGCTGTCCCGGCTCATCTGTCAGTCACCGGATCTCCCACACCTGTTCCGGGCACAGCCTGTGAGCTGCCCACCCGCACCACAGCTATGAATAGGGTGGAGGATGGGGTACAAGGGGGCATTCTGAGGGCAGGAGGGTGAGTGGTGGTGGGGAGGGCATCTCTCAGCGTAGTGGCGGGCGGCTTTCCTCTTAGACTGAGAAAGTGAAGGGGGAGGTGCTTAGAGTAGGGGGATACATGGTGGAAAGGAGAAGGGTGGGGTTATAATGAGAGGGATGGGGCACCCTGGGGTGCATCGTCTGCATTGCTGGTGGCTCTCTTGGGTCTGTGCAACGTCACCACAGGGTGGGTTGGTTCTGGGGCAGACTGGATTTCACTTGCGGAATATCTGTCTCCCCCAAACAACCAGCTTGCTTATTCTACTTGCTCTCCCGTAAGTTATAAATTCTTTGAGAGCAGAGACAATGTTTCAGTGTCTCTGGGCCCCCACTGTCCCTAGCTGTGCTGGGCTGGGGCAGGATAAATGGGTGACTGACTAGTTGAAAGGGTCAGGTGAGTGGGAGGTAGTGACAGAAGTGTATTTGAAATGGGGTCAGAGCTGGGGCTCAGAGGACTTCCCCATAAGCAGGAGATTGTAGGTCCCTCCTTGGGACCAAGGGACCTCTCTCCTCTCACCTGGCACCACCTGGAGGTGAGAGGTGGAACAGCCACATGTGACCTTTATGGAAGGCCCATCCTCTACCGGGCACTGGCCAGGGCCTGGCAGATGTTATATCTTGCCTCCAGGGTGCTTACCTCCTGGAAGGGACAAGGCCGATTGAACCACTGTGGCCAGCACAAGGCAGCGAGGGGCATGTCCAGATCACTTTGGGGGTGCTGGGCAGCTGCTACGTTCATGTAGTAGGAAGAACCTAGGAGGGCTGGGCCGGTCCTGCCCAAGCCTGGTGCGTAGCATTCTTTTAGGTGGCACGTGAATAAACATTTTTAAAAATAGTTATGCAATCATTTTTAGATATAATAGAAAAATAGAATCCCTGATTTCATCGATATATTGGCTAGAATGGAGTTAAGTAATACGAGTGAGTTGACGAGGGACACAGTAGGACCTGTGGTGGGTGGTATGAGTCCAGAGTTAGTCACTGGACAGCTAGCAGTGGCTGGAGTGTGAGAGGTATCATTTTGTGTTGTGTTCTGGCCCTTTGGATGCCCACCCCTCCGCCACTCCCATGTCCCGTGTTCAGGTGCTGCCCTTCCCAGACAGCTGAGCTTCCTGCCAGCTTTCTCAGGTGTGGTCTCCATTTCTGCCCTGTAACTAATGCAGGTCCCAGTGTTCTCTTTTCCACTGTTTAGGCAGCACAACCCGATTTTATACCAGGCCTGCGAGTGGGGAAAGCTGGAAGTTTTCCAAGCTCCTAGTGTCCAGGTTGTTTTCAAGTCCTCCTGATTGCCTCCTAGCCCTGGAGCCCGCCTGTGGCCCCGGCAGTGTGCCTGCTGACTTACCCGTCGCTTCTTCACTCTCCCTTGTCTCTCTCCAGGCAGACCTCAACACTAATATGGAAGACGAAGGCAGCTCCTTCTACGGGGTCTCCAGCCAATATGAGAGTCCCGAGAACATGATAATCACCTGCTCCACCAAGGTCTGCTCATTCGGCAAGCAGGTGGTGGAGAAAGTGGAGGTAGGAGCAGCCTGAGCATTGGTAACCAGACCATTTCCCTGTTTCAGACTGGCCTTCATTTGTGTCCTCCTCTGTCTCCAGTTCACCTGAACTAGTGAAGGCTTACCCTCACTCTTAGTCACGGGTAACCCACCCAATTTTGGACACACCCAGGAGCCCAGCTGGTACCAGGGAGGAGACGTTCCCTCCCCACTGTTCTCGCACCTGGCTGCACCTTCGATCACTAGAGCTCTTGAACACACCAGTGCCTGAACCAACTTCACAGCACTTAACCCAGAATTTCTGGGGTAGGATCTGGGCAATAGCTGTTTGTAAAAAGCTCTTCAAATGATTTATTTTAAATTAAGTTTTTCTTTTGAAATAATTGTAGATCCATATGCAATCACAATCCCATGTCCCTGTCACCCAGCTCCCCTAAGGGCAACATCTGGCATAGCTGTTGGTAACCAGGGAGTGGGCATCAGTGCCTCTCACCAACCTGATTCTGATTTCACCAGTTTGCACGGATTCATTTGTGTGTGTAGATGCAAATGCATGACCACAAGGGTTCCTGGATGTCCTTTCCCCCCATGTTATTTTAGTGTGGGGCCAGGGTTGAGTTGTCATCTGTCCTGTCTTGCCTGTTGCCACTGTCTTATGTCCTGAAGCACTCCTCTTCCCACACTCACCTTCTAAGTATCGGAAGTCAAGGTGAATAGTCCTTCTGCTGCCACTTGGGCCCCTGTCACTGAGGGAGGAGGGAGGCTCTGTTTTTAAACATCTCCTGCCCTTCTGCCTTTTCTTCCCACTTAAGAATCACTGGTCCATGGAGCCTCCCTTTGCATTTGGGTGTGGGCTGGTGTGGTCAGAAGAGAGTCTAAGCCCTGCTGTCCCTTGGGTCCTACAGACTGAGTATGCCCGCTATGAAAATGGCCACTACTCCTACCGCATCCACCGGTCCCCGCTCTGTGAGTACATGATCAACTTCATCCACAAGCTGAAGCACCTGCCCGAGAAGTACATGATGAACAGCGTACTGGAGAACTTCACCATCCTGCAGGTGTGGGTGGGAGCTGGGCATGCTGCAGGGGTGGGTTAGAGGCTGGAGCAAATGGCATGCCCTCTTATGGGGCCTTAACCCCGATCTTTTCTCTCACCTGCAGGTGGTCACCAACAGAGACACGCAGGAGACTTTGCTGTGCGTTGCATATGTCTTTGAGGTGTCAGCTAGTGAGCACGGGGCTCAACACCACATCTACCGGCTGGTGAAAGAATAAGAGACTTGGGGAGCAGGGCGGGGGAAGAGACATTGTGTGTGTAGGGACGTGGGGAGGGGACCTGCAGGGGCAGCCGCCTGAAGTGCCAAGAAAACTGACTTTTCCTACCCAGCAACAAACTGTGCCTGAACCTGCAGCGCCCAACCCCAAATAAACCCAAGATGTGTATTTTCAGAGGACCCCATCTGGCTGTAGGAGCTCTGGGAGGGCTGTGGGAGAAGGGGAGCGGTCTGGGAAGTGGGCCGGATGCAGCCCAGAGATGTATTGGGGCAGCTCTGGAGTCGTTGCTCCCATGGACTCAGTCAGGAGTGTCACCAGACGCTGAACCTCAAGATGGGATTGTCTGTCTGCTGCCTGGAGCCCTGCACCCTGCCGCTGGCCACCTCGGGAAGCCCGTGGACAGGCGCGTGGGTTCTCCATCCTGTGTGCACTCCGGCGTGCACCGAGGCTGTGTGGGCGTGGTGTGTCTGCACTCCCTGGCCTCCTCTGCCGCCACTGCTGCAGGGTGCTAACAGAGACCCCGTCCAACACAGCGGGGGTGTTAGGTGACTGAGTTGTTGGAAGGTTTGGAAGGGGATGCAAAGCTGCTTAGTTTTTATCCATCTCCAGCTTCGGTGGATACCATGGCCTTGCTGGCTTGTTGGGGGACTGGTTCCAGACCAGAGGGGCCGGGACAGAGAGGGGAGGAGGGCAGTGCCGAAGCTGTCCTGAAGAGTTGAGGTGCTGAGGCTGGCACAATGTGGCATCTTTTTTGGTGATGAGAACCAAGAAAGTTGATCAGAGGTCTGTGGTGGGCCAGTGGTCTCCGAGACCCTCCGGTTCTGACGTTCTGAGTCTTAACTCCCTCCCAGCCAAGATGCCTGTTGGGTGGTGAGCACCTCAGAGCCAGCCCAGGCTGTCCACTCCCTCCCCAAATAGTAGTGTCTGTGCTCCTTGGGGATGGGGTGGGGGGTGGCGTGGAGCCCACTCTGGGCCCAGAGGCAACCAACTGTAGGGGTTCCCTGTTTATTTCTCTTGGGAACTGGCAGGGACTTTGGGTTTCAGCAGTCCTGGTTTCATCCTAGTATTTCTAGCTGCCTGACTTTGGGTGGATGTCTCCATCTTTCTGAGCCTGCATAGGGGGCAGTAATAGCACCCACCTTAGAAGGCCTTAGAGAGGAAGAGAGAGTGTCAACAAAGTGCCTGGTGCAAGATGCACTGAACAAACATTTTCAGTAGTTAACCACTTAGTGTCCTCAGGGAGGCCTGGGACTAGCTCTTTGCTGCCATCTAGTGGCTCTTTGTAATCATCCTCAGTGGGAACCACAGTCCCAGGATCCTGGGATTCAACTTACAGGTGTTTACTGTGCCCAGCCCTCAGGGACATAGTTATGGGAATATACAAGCGAGGAAGGCAGCATCTCGGAGGGGGTACAGAGTGTGGTAAGGAGCAAGTGTCAGACCACTAGGATTGAAATCCCAGTGGTCAGCTACTGCTCAGCCATGTGACCCTTGGGCAAGTTACCAAATTTTACTGTGCCTCAGTTTCCTCATCTGTACAATGGGTATAACGGTACCTACCTCATATATGTAGAGCATCATGCTGAGCATGTAAATGTGTTCGATAAATATGCTTTACTATTAATAAGTAGGAGCTTCCCATCTAACAAGTTAGATTGAACAACTGGCTGACCTGGTCCTCAGAGTGACTGGACTTCAGAGATGGGACAGAGCAGGGTGTGGAGGATTCAGGGAAGGGGTCCAAATGAGAGGGGCTGCCTCTTAAAGGACGAGCAATGTTTAGAAAAGCAAACAGGAAGAAGGCTGGCCTGCTGTCCAGGTGGGAAAAGAAGCCAGTTACCCAGTCTCCCTCTGTCCTCCACAGGCCGGCTAGCACCCGCTCTCTATTAAAAGTCAGTTTTAACAGACACGTGGACTACTGCTAGGCCTCACGCTAAGTCACTTAACTCTACTGTATGTGGGGGCCAAGGTGGCGTATGGGGGTCCCAGCTCAGGTGGCGTGTGCTCATATGCCCGTGAGGGCTCGTGTTTGTGCATGGCTGCCCCGCCCACCCACCGCCCCCCGTCGCCCGCACAGCCCTTGCCCTCTCCTCCCCGCCTTCCCTTTTTCTGGGGCTGCCTAGATAAGGGAGCTCATGATGCCTGGCCTGCTAGCTTGACTGGACATGATCTGTGTGTGTCGTGGGTGGAAACGAGTCTGCAGATGCTGGGGCCAAGTGTTGGCTGTGAGTTTTCCCTTTTCCTTAGGAACTGACCTCAGTAGCCAATGGAGAATCACCTACTTATAACTGTAAATTCCAAGTCAGTCTGCCATGGGGATCGCTGGTGAGATGGACTCCTGTCCACTGGGTTAACACAGACTGCAACCCTTGGGGCAAATGAGAGACCTGACTTGGCCCCACCTCTGCTGCAGCCTCATCTGGCACTCCCAGCACCCTGTGAACCACCTTCCCCTGCCCATCCTCCTTGCCTTTGGGCTGTGGCACACATGTGCCCTGGCCCTCTGCCCCCGCTGGAGAACTGTTACTCATTCTTCAAGAGCCAGTGTGGAGTCGCCTCCCCTAATGCAGAAGGGTTCGTTGCTCTTGCTCTCTGTAGCAAAAGCATTCCATTCATGACCCACTGAAGCACCTGTTCTGTGGTGCCAGAAAACAGGTACCTCTCATCTCTGCTAACTCTTACCTGATAGGTACTGTGCTACTACCCCCATTTTAAAGGTGGGGACAATGGGGCACAGAGGGGAACTTTCTTGGAGTAGTCATACATTTCTTCATCATTTAGTACATATTTATTTAACTCCTGCTTTGTGCCAGGCACTGGAAATGTGTCAGTGACCAAGACAGACGAGGTTCTTTGGGGAGCTTCGGTTTCGCTGAGGAAGAAAGACAAAGTGAGCAAAGAAATTATGTGTAAACCGTGGTACATGCTGTCAGCGAATGAGAGTGCACTGATGTGAGGAGTCACTGGGGAGCCTCTTGCAGGCCCGGGGGGTGGGTGAGGGCAGGAAAGGGATAGGTATGTTCCAGGTACAGAGAGGAGGGTGTGTCGGGAACAGAGGGCCAGACACCCGGGCGAAGCATGGCGGCAGGCTGGGGCTGCACCCTGCGCAGGCCAGCCATGCTGCTGGGGAGGAGCTGGGGACCCGGCTCCCTTTTCCACAAGCCCACACCTCTTCACTCAGGAAGGGCTTTGGAGTTTACTCCATGTGGAAGGAGGTCCTGGAAGTGTGTTAAGCAAGGGTGTGAGTCTTTTTGACCTGAGTTTTCAGAAGGCAGCGCTGGAGCTGCTGTGGGCTGCAGAGAAGCACATGTAATTATCTGCTTTGGAGTCCGTCTTTCCTCCTAGACTCGGCTTCTGGGCATCTGTGGGACTCGGCTTTCCTGGTCTGCTACTTTCTATAAGCCAAGGACTGTGTGTAGGGCCTAGTAGGTGCTCGGTGGATGGGTGGTAAATGACTGCACGTGTGCAGGGCAGTGGGGCCAGCGCCTTGTGGGCCTGGGCGGAGAGTCGGGCTGCCTGAGCTCTCTGGGACTGACCCTTTGCCGTCCTGGCACGAGCTAGAGCCAGCAGGCGCCATCATCAAGACGGGGACGTGGGAACACTGCCTGTCTCATGGTGTCTGGTGATGACCGAGCAACCTGTATGCCTGTGGCCACCAATGAAGTTCCACAGAGTAGCGCAATCTGGCGAGAGACTCACGCAGAAGGAGTTTGCGGTGTGCACGTGTAGATGCAGGCTTTGTCCTCTCAGGATGGCAGCCAGGGGAGTGAGGAGCAGGGCACCAGCCTGGCCCCGGCCTCCCACACACTGGGTGCGCTCAGCGTGTCACCAGCTCCCCTTCCCCGACTGTAGGGTCAGAGGACAGGGGGCAGGGCAGTGACAGGACAAGAAGCTGGAAGGCCGGCATCCCTGGTAAGCAGGGCTGATGACATCAGGTAGCTCTGATGGACGGCAGGGCAGGTCTGCTGTGGGCTGGGGGGCCGCCAGCGCTCACCTGGGCCACACCGCAGAGAGGAGCAGTGTGAGGTCAAGTAGTAATGTGTCTGGTTTTACCCAGTGGTCATTGGGTTTGGGCCCTTCTCACATGGTCTGTTATGTCAGCTCCAAGAATGAAAACAAGAAGTTTTTCCCCAAAGAGTTAAATCTATGCAAGTTGTTTTTTAAGAACTTTAGCCCTGGGGCCAGGCTAATCTGGGCTGAATTGTCTGCTTACAAGTTGTCTGATCTTGGGGGAAGGACCAGCCTTCTTGGAGCCTTGCACCCCTGCTTGTGGATGAGGATCAAGTGGCTTTGGCTGTCGGCTGCTGTAGGGAGGAAGAGAGCAGCGCCCCTGATTCCCAGTGAGTGCGCAGGGAGTGCTGGGAACTCAGGGCAGCGGTTCCAACCCTTTTCATTTCATGGCACACATAAACTAATTACTAAAATTCTGCAGCACACCAAAAAATATGTTTTTGCTGATCTGACAAGAAAAAAAATAGGTTTGATTTTGATCCATTCACACCAAATAGCTGTTGTTGTGTTGGCTGCAGTCATGTTGTTAATTTGACAATCTAAGGGAAAAGTGGCTCAGGTTAGGGGCATAAAAACTTCCCCTGGCTGCTTTTCTCTCTCTCTCTCTCTCTCACACACACACACACGCACACACACTTTTAGACAGCAAAACCAGCTCCACTGAAAGCAGGATGGAGGAGCCCTCAAGGCTGAGAGAGCAGGCCCCACAGCCTCAGGGGAGGGTCCTGAAAGGGACAACAAGTGGTGGCTAGGTCACTCTGAACAGGAAACTGTCTGGAATTCGATTTTTGTTTACTTCCCGAGAAAGGATGGGGAGAGGTGGTCAAGTGCCTTTACAGACAGCTGGAGTCCAGTTGGAAATGGCTAAGGGTCTTTCTAAGCTCACGGGTGTTTAATATTCAACTAAGTTTTTGTACTTTTGCTATGAAAACTCCCTCTTTCTCTACACATATTCAGTAAAGTCTGCCATGTACACAAGGGCTTTCGTGTGACTGATTTCTTTTTACAGAAATGAAAGTCTCATCTGTCAATAGAGCAACAAAAGCAGCAGCGGCCACAGAGGCATCATAACTGAACCAGGCCAGCAGCAGCCCAGCAGCCCAGTCCCTTGCAAGAGAATGGAAAGGACTCAGGGTGTCTGCAAGCATAGGGTACAGTGCAAGCCAGTGTCTCTGGGCTGTCAGAGAGCCAGCGCCTTGGCTGCCGTCTGGGTTACATACATACCTTAACCACCTCCAAGATGAGGAAGCTCTGACGCCAACTCTGTGAGCACTGCATTTTCAGAAGCATAGCATTAGGTACTTAAACAACAGAGGGTTTAAGTGGTCATCACAAGAGGTTCAGGCAGGGCTGGTAGGATGTGGTCCCTGGCTAGGCATCTTAGGAACTGGATGTTAGCCCTTGACCCAGGGGTGAGCAGGCCAGCAGGACTAGCTTACTCACCAAAGCCAGAAAGAACAGTGTGGTTGATAGGCCCATGGGCCACCTCTCTGATGTACACCGGGCAGTACCACTCCCAGGTCATGGGAATACCTGTGTCCACTTGTGAGCACACTCCTTCCTCCCCAGGGAATCCTTCTGGGGGAAACCAGATCACTTGTGTCTGGTGGTTTGTGCACATGTCCAAGCGGGGAGCTGGGTGAGCTTAAAGGACTGCACCAGCAATATTGAGAGTCTGGTGCCCCTGTCTCCACCGTAGGGACCTGAATTGTCCCTTCCAAGGATCAAGAAGCCCTTTTTTCTGGACATTGGTTAGAGATGGCTCTCTTTTTGTGATCACAAGACCCATTACATCATGTTGAAAGCTCCAATTCTTGTGAGTATTGTTGATGGGCATTCTTCAGGCGCTGTTGAGCACCTAACATATTAGCTGCCGTGCTATACTCACTCTTACTAGTTCTGGGTTCAGAGGGAGGATAATTCTGAAGCCCCATTTACCTGGACCAACCCTCCCCTTCTTCCTCCGGGAGCGGTGAGCAGGAGAGACCTTGCCTCGCTGGCAGTCCCAGGCCCATCTGTGGTCTGAACCAGTGGCCTGGCTCTACTCCCTAACCTTAGGTCTCAGCACCGAGGACAGGTGGCCTTGGACTGTGAGCTTTTCCTGGCTCTCAGGTTTGAGGGGAGCCCTGGGCAGCACAGAGGGGCTTCCTGCTTGGGACTGAGGAAGGGGGGGGAAAGGGGAAGGAGCAGGAAAACATGAGAAAGGGTGAGGAAAGACCAGGGAGAGAGTGCCACTGTTGTCCCCGAAGATGTGTCCTTTCAGGCCCTGCCAGTAGGGGTTTGCAGTGAGGGTGGGCTGGTGTGGCACAGCAGCCTGCCCGCACACAGCGAGCACTCACTGAGCACGAACTGTATGCCAAGCACTATTCTAGGTGCTGAGGATGCCAGGGGAGAAGGCAAACGTTTCTACTCTCATGGAATGCCCCTTCTAGTAGGGGAGACCGACAATAAGCAAGCAACAAGAAAAGGTAAATAAACGAGAATATCAGGAAGTGATTAGTGCTTTGATGAAGAGAAAACAGGATGATGTATCAGAACAGGGTTTGGCCATATCCGGCCCATCTCCTGTTTTTAATCCCTGGGAGCTAAGAATGGTTTTTATGTTTTTAAATGGGAAAAAACAAAAGGAGAGTAACACCTGTGGCCTGTGGAAGTGATAGGAAACCAGAGTTGCAGTGTCTGTAAGCCGAGTTTGGCTGGAACGTGGCCACAGTCACATGCGCACGTGCTGCTGATGGCTGCCGTGCTGCAACACGGAGCTGAGTGCTGGTGGCAGACCTCATAAGACTCCCAATGCCTGAAGTGCTGACTATATGCACTTTATTTAAAGAGTGGGTGGTCGCCGAAGGCCTTTCTGAGGTGACAATTGGAGACAGCCACGTGAAGATCTAGGGACAGGAACATCCATTTCGAGGATGCTGAGGTGGGGAAGAACTCGGTGTGTTCAAGTGGCAGGAAGGACTGGGGTGCAGCTGGAGGAGCAGCCTGTCCTTATTCCACGGTGGCCGTGCCTCCCCTCGTTTACCTGAGGATAGCAATGGTTTAGGTTTGTGGTTTATCTCCCAGCATGCTCTGTTCCCTCCCAGTTGCCTTTCTTTTGGTTCCTTTTGGTCTTAGTTATTTGTGTTAGAGCCTTCCCTCAGAAGCCCTGCTGTTGTTCCATTGTCTGCTTCTACCTAAGGGGGGCACAGAAAGCCCAGGGAGGCTCTGGCCAGGTGGGCAGGTGTTGGAGGCCAGCTGTGGCCATCAGGCAGGGCTCTAATTTTAGGGGATGCATTTCATATGCATATTTTTTCCTGGCCCAGTCAGATTTCATGGAAAGTGTTCCCCCAGTTTCTTGCAGGAGAGCACTGTCTGGTCAGCAGCATTCTGGGAACTGAATGGGAGGAAAATGCTGGGATGTCTCAATGTTCAGTATGCAGACATTCACCAGCTCCCCTGTTTTCTGCATGGTGGTCCTGTGTTCAGCTGGACCCAGTGTCCTCTAGCCTGGGGACACCCATGTCGCCCTTTCCCCGGGAAGGGACTCCTGGCTTCGGCTGAGTGGGTGAGGGCAGCCCCTGCTACACAGAGTGGAGGGGAGGATTTGGGGAGCTGTCTCTCTTCGAGCTGACTCTGGGCAGTCTCCTGTCTTTGCCTCCATTTCCAGAGACACCTGGTACCTTCAATTCTTTTTATTTATTGTAAGATTTTACTTATTTATTTTTAGAGAGAGGGGAAGGGAGGAATAAAGAGAGGGAGAGAAACATCGACATGTGAGAGGTACATCGATCAGTTGCCTCTCACACCCCTCCCGCCACCATCCTGGGACCTGGCATGTGCCTGACCAGGAATTGAACTGGTGACCTTCTGCTTTGTGGGATGATGACCAAGCAAGCCACATCAGCCAGGGCTAGAGACACCTTTAAAAAAATCCCTTTATGGTCATCTTAGATAGTTTCAGGATTGAGAAAAGTAGTTCTGTTGAGTAGACCACCTTTGTCCTGATTGACTTATTTGAAGTACCACTCTGGTCATTGTGTGAAGACACGAAGAGAGAGGAATGGAAGCAGAGAGACCCAGTTAGAGGGCTGCACACAGGTCTAGGTGAGAGACGATGGTGCTCTGGACAAGAGGGTAGTGGTGGGGATGAGAGGAAGTGGGTGACCTCGAGTTACATTTTGAAGGCAGTCACTATGACTTCCTGACAGCTTAGTCATAGAGGATGTGTGAAGGTGAGGAATTAAGATTAACTCCAAATTTCCTGGTGCCATTTACTATGATGGGAAAGTCTTGGGGAGGGTAATTTTGTGGGTGGAGATCAAGACTCAAGGTTGAGTGCCTATTTAGACATCCAAGTGGAGATGTGAAGGAACAGCTGCATATATGATTCTGGAATCGAGGAGAGGGGTCAGGGCTGGATTTAGACTTCACTGGCATCTGGATCGGCATCTAAACCCTTTGGACTAGAGGAGGTTACTTAGGAGGACAGTATGGCTGGAGAAGAAAGAGGTGCCCCCAGGACTGCCTGGAGCCACTCCAGCACTTAAGGATAGAAGAGAGGAAGATGAAGACCAGAGAAGTGTGGGTTTCCTCTCAGTAGTAAAGATGGTGTTTCCACAGGGAGAGGGGAAACACTACTGGCAGGAAGACAAGAAGAGGACGGAGAAATGATCATTTGAGATAGAGACGTCTCCCCTTCTTCATGAGTAACAGTACCCCTCCATTTTAGCTGGGCACGTGGTCACTCGGAATAAAAACCATATTTCTCAGTCTCCTTTCTGGCTAGATGTGGCAATGGAGATAAACAGAACTGCAATTTCCAGAAGTGTCCTAAAAGGGAGGAGGCATATTCTTCACCCCTATCCAGTTGACTGCATTGGGATATAATGGTTGAATTTCCTGCAACTTTTTTAAAAAAGATTTTACTTATTTATTTTTAGAGAGAAGGGAAGGGAGGGAGAAAGAAAGGGAGAGAGACATCAATGTGGGAGAGATTCATCAACTGGTTGCCTTTCATATGCCCCCTACTGGGGACCTGGCCCATAACCTAGGCATGTGCCCAGCCTGGGAATCGACCTGGTGACCTTTCGGTTTGCAGGTTGGTACTCAGTCCACTGAGCTGCACCAGCCAGGGCTCTGCAGTCTTTTTGTGCCTCAGATGACCTTGGAAGTGGAAACGACCCATGCTAAGCAGCAGGTAAAACAGGATCTTCACTCTTTGATGCCATGAGCACAGTGACAGCTCTGGACAGATTTTATATGAGAGATGAACAAACTATCTTGTTTAAGTCACATTTTCTAAAACTGATTTTAGAGGGGAAGTGGGGGGGTGGAGAGAGAGAGAAACATCAATTTGTTGTTCTGCCCACTCAGGTACTCATTGGTTGATTCTCATTTGTGACCTGATCAGGGAGTGAACCCTCAACCGTGGAGTATCATGATGACACTCTAAGCAACCAAGCTGTGTGGCCAGAGCCATTGTTTAAGTCACTGTGATTTTGTGTTTTTTATAGTATCACTGGATCTGGGAACAAACATTAGAGGCATAGTGGTTAAAGCATGAACACCTGCAAACACGACAACAACAACACCTCTGTGACTCTGTATAGCACTTTCAGTTTGCAAAACATATTCAAATACACTGTCTTGACTGATGTTTGCAGCTTCATTGTGATACTGTAGACATCGTCTTCGTAGATGAAGAAACTGAGGTTCAGAGAAATCACCAACTCATGTCTCCTGATTACTAAATTGCAGGGCTTACACTTGAACCTGGATTTTCTGGTCCTCACCCAGTGCTCAAGAACATAGGCAGAGAATACAGGTCATGAGTATGCACAAGGTTCTACCTCAGGGTTTGCTTGATATTGGGCATGGTAGTTGGGAGTTTGCCCCCAAAGCTCCCAGAGAGGGCTGGCATTAAGAGAAAAGCTTTTTTTTATGTGTATGCAGCAAAGTTTCCTCACTTTTCAGGAAAATGCCTAAATTTCTACAGG